CATTGCCGTTTCATGAGTCGATTTCAATTACGAAATGACTACTCACCATAAACCTACGACAATTTGACACTAACATTCGGCGATTGCGACGCCATAAGGATGTCAAATATAATCATATGTAACTAACAATACTTACAAATGTAAAATAAAATAAGAATTATCATAAAACTAAATTATAATAATATTATTCTATGTTTAAAACCATTTTTAATAAGAGTAGAAAACGCTGGCCGTAATGAAATTGGAGATGTACAATTTATAGGGTTTGAATACCAAACAAGGGGTGCGTTTTATGCATCAGTAGAAGCATTTTTCCACAATTTCAGCACAATTTTAGAGGTGTGTATTATGGATGAAGGCGTAGGGAATTATGGTAAATGTTTATAGACCCAAATATAAACCACCAATATTTATATGTCCCCGAATCATAGAACCGAATTTATGGACTTACATATAAAGAACTAATATGTGCCTATGTTCGAACCAGATAAATGCTTTACATTTTTGCATATTGCCTCAAATATTTTTATTTGCCTTGGTAAAAAAAAAAAAAAATATGGCCGAAGATAGTGTGAAGTTAAAAAAATGCTTTAGAAACATATTTAACTAGAAATAATATTCGGGTCCATGCTTTGATCAGAATTTGAACAAAAATCTCGTTTTCTACTGATGTCTTGAAGTGAGAATAACCTCATGACAGCGACTCAATCCTGCCTCTCCTAACCTGTTATGTGACCAACGCTGTGGAAGTGACCGACACGGACAAATATTGCGTTGGTTGGCGAAATACTAATACACAGCCTACATCAAACAACAGGTGGCGCTAAACCAGTCAAGATGCATGCAAAGATAGAATCTGAAACAAAAGACGAACTGCGTTATCATTTACCGATTATTGTTTATACTCTCGGCTTGATTGGTCGATAAACACTTGCTAAATATGATAGGCTCTTCCCTGAAGATAGTATCCCTCCCACCGGAAAGATTAACGATCATAATCTAACTTTTGTTTTGAAATTTGGAATGTTTGTTAATAATAATTATATTACTAACAAAACTATCAGTGTCTCGTAGTTGGGCAGCAGTTTTCAAGTTCATATCACCGACTATTATTGCAATTCTCACTTAGTCTTACTTGAACCTCTCTTGGTTTCTTGCATTGTGCCGAACGATGTAACGCATAATGCAGAAGAAATTTAACAGAGAATTTGGAAAGAACAGTGGAATGGTGAAAGATGCCTTCCGGAAACTAAGCAAAGTATGAATTGGTAAATCTCGTTAGAATTCAAGAAAAAATAGTGCAGAACACATATGTAATACCTGATTCCCTACAAAGCAATAAATGTTGGACAATCTACTCAGAGATGAGGAGACTTGAAGCGAGAGAGAAGTGGTTCCACGGAGAGAAACCAAGAATACTATCGCGAGAACATTTGAGCAACGGGGAAATTTTAACGAAAATAGGATCACTGTCAATATTCCAGAGACAAAGTATTGTAACTATTTACATTGTTCGGACTGTTGTCCTCATCTTTATTGTCATATTTACAACATTTCGGTAGTTGTATTACTCCGGCCTTCTTCAGATAATGTAATTTTGAACTGAACCCTAACATTTATTGACTTCAGCAACAGATAAAATTTATTGCTTATTATGTATTTTCGGTCTCATATAAAAATGTATTGCTGGTATTTTTACTATAAAAATATACTTTTATACTTTAATTAAAAGGTACTAACACCGTGGGTCAGAGTGGACTTGGAAATATCAGTAATTAAGAGGTGGTTTCATGCTGCTCAAAAACTCCCATCTCCTGATCAGAGGCTTGCTGCTGGATGTAGTCTGTCGCCATCCCCAGGACTATCAAAAGCTTAGAATATAAGGAATAGAACACGTGAGAAATGAGGATGACTGAAGGAATGACACTGTATCTGATTAAAACCAAGAGGTAACAGCTCAGATTTAATTGTACAGTGAATTAACAGAAGAAGCAAAGTTTGACACAGAAATACGAAAACGCAGCAAACTAACGAAAGAAGCCTTCCAGAAACAAAGTATCAAAGTACCAAGAAATAGGAATACAAGTCGCCGTCGACTTACGACCACGACTGGTTACAGGTCGTAAATCGATCTGGTCGTAAATCGGCCTGTAATACTCCATTTTCGGCAGCAGTACTCCATTTTCGGCCTGGGCTTACTCGAAAAGGTAGAGGACAGAAAAAGTACTTGCTGAAGCGGTACATGGTACCGATCATTTTGCACTGGTGACATGTAAGTTTCACTCGAGCGCCTTCTTCCCACGGACGGCTGTTTAGTAGAGCCGGTTTCAAAGCGGATGCTTTCACATTCACTACAATCTTAGACTGTTCAAGTTAGCCGTTATCTTCCCTACATATCTCCATAAATTGTGGCTCTTACTTTGTAACGCTCTACCCAGAGTTACCCTTGGGGCTTGTACAGGATGAACATTACTGTACAAAAATATGGTTACACAGTTAAAACTAATCGGCAAAAATTCACTCTTATCCGAACGAATTAAATGCTTACAAACTCTATGAATTTAAGCGCAGCACTAGATTGGCAACAAGGCGTCATCATTTTACATTTGAACTGGATAGATGTAACCGGACGTTCTATGCTAACATTTTCTTACACTTCTCACTTTGTTGATCTTTTTTCCGGCTTCTTGCTTCCCAGCCAACTTCAAAAATTTAGATGCAATCTTAATCGTTATTTAGAGTCTCATTGATTCCTCTTTTGTCATTGTTCTTGCTACTTAATAATGTTTCTCTTTTCCTTATTCTTTCACACTCAGTAATCCCGTTATGTCTTAGTGGCTTTATTGCCTTACTTGGGGTGTATTTAATTCAATCCTCTTACGTCAATCGATGCTGGATAATTTCCCAACAGATAAAAAAGAGGTTCGACGTGATCAAGATATGGTTCAGAAGGCGGATATTGAAAATATTCTAGACTGAACATTCGAGTAACGAGGCGTTAAAAGAAATACGGACTAAAAAGACATCTATAATTATGAGGAAAGATGGCTTGAAGAATGTAATACTCTTCAAATCAAGTCTCGGATATTTCGGTCCAGTGATGCAGTTGTATGATCCTGGTAGAATAGTCCAACGTTGTAAAAATATCCACATTGCTTTGCAACATAGCGGACACCGGTCAGTGTTTTGTTTAGATGGATCAGTTAACTCAAGCCGTGCTACGAGAACATAGACAACGCCGTTATAGCAATGACTTCGATCAAATGAAGCCTGTAGGTTTTAACGAGGACCATCTTTTTTCTAATTTCCTGGACTGGCGCTACAGAATCACAAACAAAGATCTGTAGAAAGCAATAGAAATCAGATCACTTGAGAGATTTCAACAACAGCAACAATTAAAATGGATAACGCATGTAACTCAAAGAGAAATTGATGACATAATCAAGATGTTGACGTTCCACAGTATTTCAAACAAAAGGTTAGTAAGGAAATACCCATCAGTACTGGAAAGGGTAATAACAGTAGATTTGAGTTGTTTTTTTTTTGTTTTTTTTTACTGAGAAAATTGTCTTAATCGAAATTTCTTTAATTTTAACCGAGAGTAACACTAGCAGCACATTCAGTGAATACTGAATGTTTCCTTATAAGGAAACATTTAATATTACAGGTAACTTTACCATTATAAATCACTAACAGCCTACAGCCTAGGGTTGTCGTCTAAAGTCTATGGCTTCGTTGGGGTCTAATCCGTCCTCGAATCATATCGCCAGCCTGGAACACATGGAACCGTAATTTCTTAGACCACTGTTAAGAGTTACCCTTCCTCTAGAATTCAATCAGCAACTTCTCGAAACCAGGTGAGACGCTGTGTTCTGTGTCACAGTGTCAACAGGATCATTGTATTCATTTGCTACTTCCTGCCTTGAAATTCGATGTGACTAGAGATAGTGTCGCTTGTCTGTTACCCCAATTCTCCACAAACACCTCTGGTCACAATCATTATTAAAAAAAAATCCTTGCTCGACTACTGCGCAGTCCGCAGGTATTTCCGACCGATACACATATGCGACCATTGATCAAGGGATATCAAATGTTTCTTCGATTTCCGAAATAAAATATCCCATCTCTAAGACACACCCTTTTATGACCCGGTAATTCCTGTTGTTCCGTTACTAGCAGCTTAGTCAATATGCATGCTGACTTACCAGATATCCATGTTGAGAAAAAGTACAGTGGCGCCACCTACCATTGCATTTACGTACATATCATAACTTTTAGCACGTCAGTGTATAAAGACACAAATACTGAAAAAGATGTTGAAATTCAGTGTAAATTAATTTACTATAGAATGAATTGCAAATGGTTTTACTATATAATGTACTGAAAATGGTTTTAATATCGAAATTCACTGAAATGGGATTCATTGTAGGATTGCATTGTAAATGATTTTATTTTAGGAATCAGTTGTAAATGATCTTAATACAGATATGCATTGGAAATGAATTTACTATAGGAATTCGTTGTAAATGATTTCACTATAGGAATGCTTTGTGAAGGAATTTACTATAGGAATTCATTGTAAATGATTTTACTATAAGAATGCATTGTAAATGATTTTACTATAAGAATGCATTGTAAATGAATTTACTATAGGAATGCATTGGAAATGATTTTACTATAAGAATGCATCGGAAAGGATTTTACTATAGGAATGCATTGGAAAGGATTTTACTATAGGAATGAATTGGAAAGGATTTTACTATAAGAATGGATTATGTAGCATGTATACAGTTTTTGAGACACTCTGTATATGATTAATGTTTATATAAATTATTTTAGCAAAGTAAAGGCCAAATTCTGTGGAAGGTTGTATTTCTTCAGTCTTTAATGAGACCCTGCCATTCTTGAAAATTAGAATACAATATCACGTCCTTTATCTCTGTTGGAATTCTAATTGCAAAGGTCAGAGTGAAGTAAGTAACTATTCTACAAAATATACAATGGCTGCTCAGTGAGAATAGAAAATCCGAGTGAAAAATTTGCTTATTTTAACCACCGTTCAATAGCAATATATCTTCTATGTTATTTCTTGATGCTTTTTATCTTTCGTTTTTATCGGTCTCTTTATCATTTGATTTCTTTCTTCGCCTCTTTCTTTCTTTAGATTTTGTTTGCTTTTTTTCTTTCTTTTTTGCCTATTTCTTTTTTGCTCGCTTTTTTCTTTGCCTCTTTCTTTCATTCTTTCTTTGCCTCGTTTATTTCTTTATTTACATTTTGTTTGCTTTTTTCTTTCTTTCTCTATTTCTTTCTTCGCTTTTTTTCGCCTCTTTCTTTCATTCTTTCTTTTCCTCTTTCTTTCTTCGCTTTTTTTGCCTCTTTCTTTAATTTTTTTCTTCCCAACTTTCTTTCTTCGTCTCTTTCTTTCTTTACATTTTGTTTGCTTTTTTCATTCCTTCTTTACATTTTTCTTCCTTCGCTTTTTTCTTCTCCTCCTTCTTTCATTATTTCTTCGCCTTTTTCCTTCTTCGCCTCTTACATTCTTTCTTTCATTCTTTCCATTTTGTTTGTTTTTTCTTACTTTCTTTGCCTTTTTTCGTCGCTTTTTCTTTCGCCATTTTTTTCATTCATTATTTGCCTATCTCCTTCTTCGCCATTTCTTCTTCACCTCTTTCTTTCTTTACATTTTGTTTGCTTTTTCTTTCTTTCTTTGCCTATTTCTTTCTTCGCTTTTTCTTCGCCTTTTTCTTTCATTCATTCTTTGCCTATTTCTTTCTCTGCCTCTTTCATTCTTTCTTTACATTTTGTTTGCTTTTTTCTTTCTTTTTTGGCTATTTCTCTTTTCGTTTTTTCTTCCCCTTTTTCTATTCATTTTCGTTTGTCACTTTCCTTTTTTCATTTATTTTCTTTTCTCTCTTTTCTTTTCTTTCTTTCAATATTTATTTATTCACCTTTATGTTTGCTATTTTATTTTTCCTTTTCTTTCTCTGCCTTTCTATTCGTTTTGGTTGTTTGCTGCTTTTTTCTTCACTTCTTCCTTTCTTCACATCTTCCTTTCTTTGCTTCTTTCTTTCTTTTATTCTTTCTTTCTTTCATTCTTTCTTCTATTCTTTCTTTCTTTCTTTCTTTCATTCTTTCTTCCATTCTTTCTTTCATTCTTTCATTCTTTCTTTCATTCTTTCTTCCATTCTTTCTTTCATTCTTTCATTCTTTCTTTCATTCTTTCTTCCATTCTTTCTTTCATTCTTTCATTCTTTCTTTCATTCTTTCTTTCATTCTTTCATTCTTTCTTTCTTTCATACTTTCTTTCATTCTTTATTTCATTCTTCCTTTCATTCTTTCTTTCTTTCATTCTTTCTTTCATTCTTTCTTCCATTCTTTCTTCCTTTCATTCTTTCTTTCTTTCATTCTTTCTTTCATTCTTCCTTTCATTCTTTCTTTCTTTCATTCTTTCTTTCATTCTTTCTTCCATTCTTTCTTTCTTTCATTCTTTCTTTCTTTCATTCTTTCTTCCATTCTTTCTTTCATTCTTTCATTCTTTCTTTCATTCTTTCTTTCATTCTTTCTTTCTTTCTTTCATTCTTTCTTTCATTCTTTCTTTCTTTCATTCATTCATTCTTTCTTTCATTCTTTCTTTCATTCTTTCTTTCATTCTTTCATTTATTCTTTCTTTCTTTCATTCTTTCTTTACCTTTTGTTAGCAACTTTCTTTCCTATATTTTAAGCATTTATTCGTTTATTAGTTTTTCCTTCAAATGTAAATGTCGCAGTCTTGTTGTAGAAGGAAAATAAATCTTAAAATGAAATTAAAAAAAATATATTTTATCTGATAGAAGTCCACTGAGAGAATAAGTAATTTATTATTATTATAGAAATCTTAAATCCGGAACTAAAAAATTAGATGTACGTACGTCTGAACTAAAATTCCTCACTAGCCCACATATGGTTTATGCAGACGAGCAGTGGAAATGAAGAGGTTTTAACTATTATAAAATTTTGGAACATACAGAATAGATACAACAAACATTTTGGCAAGAAAGAAAAAAACAATGAAAATTTACAGAAAATGAAGTTATTCAAATTCATAATAATTAGAATAAACTTAAGAGAACATCTAACACTAAAGATTTGGATATATCGCATCCTCATCCTTAAATTTTTGAAGATTGTAGTTATCAAAGATACAAGAAATCGAAAAGGAGTTCCACAGTGGGGAAGTGCGAGAAAAAACTGTTAGAGTAGAAGTGGTGTTTGTACCTAGCTAGTTCAACAGTAAAAGGGTGAGACCTAGTTGCCAATCTAGAAGTGCGCTTAAATTTATGTAGTCTAGGCACCAAGAAAAACAGTTCATCCGAACAGTTGCCATGAAAATACTTGTAGAAAAAAGAGAAAAAAGCTACGTCATGTCGGCGAGAAAGTGACCGAAGACAGGATGCCTGGTCAGGATCGATTGAATTGGAGACCCTTCTCTGGACTTTATCAAGAATCTGCATATGCACAGCAGGAGCACCAGACCAGATATGTCAAAAATATTCAATACATGGACGATTGGTAGAGTGGTACATTTATAAATGTGTAAGAGGGATTCTAACGGAAAATAAAACTTTTGGCACGACACAGTGAACCAAGCTTCCTCGCAGCAGATGCAGCAGTTGACTGGATATAGTTGGTCCGATTCACGTCAGTGAAAAACGTGAGGCCAAGAAGTCGTATTGCTCTCCTGAAGTTCATCATCAGCCATCTTAATATTAGGCGGAAGGCGTTCTCTGTGGTGATTAATTGAATTTACCACATCATCCCTAAATAAAGAGTATTGGCTTTATAATTACTACCAGCCTACTATGTACTCGTGCTTCTCCTGCCAGAAAAATGGTCGTTTCTTTGTACCGCTCCAGTAAGTATCGGACGCCACCTAAAATATTTACAAGAGCCAGATCAGGCCGACAATGGCGCACTGCTGTTATATAGGCCAGTATTTACTTTCCACTCTCGATAGAGTCTAAAAACATCTCCGCCTCTTTTTGGGTGACGAATTGTTTTCCACCCTACCATCCCTTTTCTCACAGACGAAACGTCGCAAGCATTATCACTGCTCTTTTGGAAAGTGTTCAAGCGAAATGCACTCTTTAATTCCACCAGTTCTAATCTTGACGGTTAAGTACCGCCATACCATAGTAGCGAACCACCCTTATTCATTTCATATTCCATTGATAAGATGTAAGTTCCACCCAAGCAGTTTCTTCGCACGAACCACTCCATCTAAGAGGATGATTTCCCAATCACTACAATCTTATCCTGTTCATATTTAGGCTTAACCATTATATTCTCCACATATCCGCACACTTACTGTGCCTCTTACTGTATAACCCTCTATTCGAATGGCACTTGAGCCTGGTATAGAGTAAACGTCATTGTAATTTTTTTTTCTTTTCCAGAATTAAAACAATATATTTTTCCTATCATAGTAGCAAAATATTTGCTGTTTTTTGCACGGGAGTGATATCAAAAGCTAGATCGGTGAAATGACACAGGTTTACTCTGCAAGGTGAACACCTGAGACATGGCATATGTACCTGCAGCCGACGATAAACAAGGTGCAGTGTGTCTGGCTATAAGCAAATAATTTGTTAATTATGGCTGATTCAAAAAATAGATAAGCACCCGTCACCAAGAAGAACTGAGACGTTTTCTTATGCAACGGTTTTTTTTTCTATTGACTGATCAAATCGGGAACAATTTCAGACTGGTTTGATATTTATGTATGTATCTACTGTTAAAATCTTGAATGTAAAAAAATAAGAAAAGGAAAAGAGAAACAAAAAACAGAACAAATAAATTTAATTTCCCTATCTTTGTAATTTATAATTCTGGAGAAAGTTAACAATAATGATAAACGGATTACAATTCTGCAGGTTCCCCCGTTAGTTAGTAAGATACTTAGCGCGTACGTTCAGGTTTGCCATTGCCGAAGTTAAATAATAGACCATTCCGTTTTGTTTGAAAGGAAGGATGGAAGATAAGAGAAGCTGTCTGGATTATATGAACAATAGACAGCATACATAATCAGAAGACAAAAATAAAGAGAAAGAGAAAGCAAGCAATTTCGGTGGTTGGTTGATTTTGTTTTGCGAAATATCAACATCTATGTCGTAACTAATGCCAAAATCTAAATTTTCGGAACAAAGTTTTATGACTTCAAATAAATATGATGTAAACACAACTACAAATGAAATGTGTTGTTGGTCATTTTTCTATAAAATATATAGTTGATAATTCTACTATAAATTTGTACTGTTGGTAATTTTACTAGAAATAAGTATTACTGACAATTTTTTATATAAATATGTATTGTTGGTATTTTCCCTATAAAAATCTATTCTTAATACTTTCATAGTGTTTTGCTTTTGTTTGGTGATTCACTATTTTCCCATAGCCGGGACCCTAACAGGTGCTACTACCTGAGTCAGGGTGGACCAGGAAACAACAACAATTAACAGGTGGTTCTACGCTCCTCAAAATCACCAACCGCCCGATCAGAGGGTTTGCTACCGGATATAGTTCATCTTCATACCCAGGGCATAGAAAGAAATTTAAGACAGAGAAGCTATCACTTAAGTCGCGAAAATATCGCAGTACACACACACAAAAATATATATATATATATATATATATATATATATATATATATATATATATTATATTAATTATCTAACAATGAACTGGTATATAAAAATGTGTATCATTTCGCCCATGAATCACACACACACACACACACAATATATATATATATATATATATATATATATATATATATATATGTGTGTGTGTGTGTGTGTGTATAACGATTCATGGGAAAATGATATATACATTTTTATATACCAGATCATTGTTAGGATAATTAATGACAAACACACGCAAATAAATTTAAAAATTAAAATTTCGGCATGCCCTCTACTACTTTCGAATGTATAGTCGCATCAACGTGACATCACATTAGTCTGATGAAGTCCTAAAGGCTGAAACGCGAGACACGAAAAACAAATTTTCACTTTCATTGAATTCCCTAATAAATATTCATGAAAGCTGAATATATATATATATATATATATATATATATATATGTGTGTGTGTGTGTGTGTGTGTGTGTGTGTGTGTGTGTGTGTTTCATTAAAGACGACAGTCAAATTACTGCAAATAAGCTTTTTATTTATTTTTTCTTGTGTTCAAACAAGTGGTTTCTTTTGTGGACACAGAGTGTGTAGAAACTGTCAAGAAAAATTAAATAAAAAGCTTAATCGCAGTACCTTATTTCTCGTCTTTAATGAAACATGTATAAATGAAGAATTGCTTTCTAAATACCCAGTACATATATATGTGTGTTTGTGTGAGTGTGTGTGTCTATGTGTATGTGTATGTGCGTGTGTGTGTGTGTATTTTGGCGGGGAATTTTCTTTTAGACATGTCTGATTAAATAAATTACAAATATTATGTCTCCTTATTTTTATCATAATCTTTTCATGTTCACGGATATTTTTCCGTATATTACACTTGAATAAGGCAAGAAATATAGTGTGAATCATTTAACAATCAGAATCAATTTTATTTCAGGAAGACATGGAAAGTGCTTGGGAATTAAACCTGATTCTCACTGTTACATCTTTTCTCGCCTTATTCATTAGTAATATACTGAAAAACATTCGTGAATATGAAAGGATTATGATAAAAATAAGCAGACATAATGTTTGTAATTCATTCAGTCAGACATACATGATCTATCTATCTATCTATCTATCTATCTCTATATATATATATATATATATATATATATATATATATATATATATATAGATATGTCCCAGAAAGGGATATATTTGATCGAAGTAGGTATTGGTTTTGGCTACTGTAACCAAGTAGTACACAGTAGCAGTAATCGACTGATACTCGTCGTAGTCGCAGGTAATAGGTGTAGACCAATACGAGAGCCAATGGCGTAGTCCAATGGGCGTCGTCATAGACTTAAACTCTGTGTATCTACACGTCCGTCTGTATTTATGACGGACACCAGCCAATCATATTCCAATGACGGGGAACTCAGGTGTATGCATATTCCATTATATCAAAGACGAAAGACAAGACACGGCGATTAAGCTTTTTATTCCATTTGTACAAGTATTCTTTTTCTGCTCACCGTGTGCATAACAAATGTTCAAATGTTTTTTTCTTCTTCATGTGCTCTTTTCAATGATGCAAAACATTTTTCATAGTGTATGCATGCGTGTGTTCGCACCTATATGCCCTTCTGTGCGTGCATGTAGAATGTCGTGTTTATCTGTCCTTTTTTTTATTCATTTAGAGACGACATGTCTTTTATTCATTTAGAGACGACATCTTTTTTATGCATTTAGAGACAGCATTTTTTTCATTCATTTAGAGAAGACATCTTTTTTATTTATTTAGAAACGACAGTTTTATATTTACTTAGAAACGACACCTTTTTTATTCATTTAGAAATAACATCTATTTTTCATTTAGAGACGTCATATTTTTTATTCATTTAGTGACGTTATCTTTTTTATTCATTTTGAGACTTTTTTTATTCATTTAGAGGAGACATCATTTTTATTTATTTAGAGACATCTGTTTTATTCATTTAGAAACGGTATCTTTTTTATTGATTTAGAAACGAAAAGTTTTTTCTTCA